TCAGAGCCTTCTGCAACAGGAACAGCGGAGTATTCCACAACAGGAACGATGGCTACGCTTGAAACAACAGAACCGATAACACAGCCAGAAACGCCTGTTACTAAGCTTGCAACAGAAACTGCCACTCCCACACGAAACACTTATGATGGTAACGAGAGTTCTTTGCTGCTGAAAAATTTTTCTTAGAACAGCTTGTCTTAAAACTGAACAACAAAAATCAAAAAAGAATTTACAGAGGTGGACACCAAGAACTCTCCAAAAATGACAACTGCCGAGATTTTGCTGTCTGACAGACCCACCGCCAGCTTACGAACAGTAATTACGAACACTCTAGACACCGTAACAGAGAAAATCTTTAGCTCTACAGAATCGTTTGAGCTAACAAAATCGTTAACAAGAGAAACACGTGAGACTTCAAGTTCGTCAGGGAGAACACTGCTGTCGTCGCCAATTTCATCAAGAACAGCAAGTGAGGCAACCAGAACTTTAAATTCGGCAGAGAGCACGCATTCAATAACATGTAAAACTCTCGGATCATCAATGAGAACACTGCTGTCGTCATCAACTTCATCAGGAACAGCAACTGAGGCAACCGGCACTTTGAATTCAGCAGAAAGCACGAAGTCATCAGTTTCACCAGGAACAGCAACTGAAGCAACCGGAACGTCAAATTGGACAGAGAGCTCAATGTCATCAGAAAACGAAACGCTGGAGGTGTCTGGAGAAACGTTGTTTGTACTTTGTAACTGAGGCAACCGGAACTTTAAAATTGACCCGCAAGTTTCAAAAATATAAGTCGCCATTTTTTACCGTTCTATTTTGCTCTGACTACTTTACTTATTTTGCCTTCGAACGATCCAAGTACTAGCAGCACTCAAATAGTTTCTTTCCGCTTGTTGTCAAAAGTTGAAATTGCTGCTGTGAATTAATAGCATTAAGGTGATGTTTTTTAAAGATATATTGTATCATTGAAACTGGAAGCTTGACGTATTATTTTTTATACGTGTACATAAATTCTTTGGGAGTTCCAACCCGTCGTTCTCTAAAAAACGAAACGAATTAATTTAAGACTTTAAAGCGATTCTCGATTAACTCGTATTCACATAAAAATCACCATTCTCTATCTGCTTTGTCCGAAACAACAAGGGAGTAAACAAAATTTTCCCACTTTTATTGGATGGATACAAACCGGTTTAAAGGTATTACCACCAGTAAGTGGATCGCCATTGGCTTGATGTACAATGATGCAACTGCGCAGTCTTACAATTTTCAATTAAAGTTTGCTTTCGACTTGCCGACGAAACATCAGAGACTCTGCAGAGCTATTTTATGCGCAATCTTGAAACAACACAGAAAACCAGCAGCAAATAGTAATAACCAGTCAGTTTACAATTAAACCAAGAAGAACTGGTAACGTTACAAGAAGTTATGAATTTACTTTATTGAAGTATTTTGTTTGATGAATTCTTTTTGTTTCTGGACTGCAAAATTTCAGTCG